GAGACACTTGTGGCAGTGGGGGTTGTTGTTCCTGAAAACCCTGAGGAACAAAGGGCTGAATTTGGAATGCCCCAGTTTGTTGCGGGGCCTGAGGCTGGCCCCTCCTCTCGTTTCCCGACAGTGGTTGCCCATTTTTATCAAATTTAGAACGACATTGATTAGCCCAATGTTTTCCCTTTTTACATCTTGGACATAGGCCAGGTGGCTCTTTATCTGTTCTTGTAGTAGTTTGAGTAGTTACATTTTGTTTATTTGAGACTAGGCAATTCTTTTTTAGATGACCAATTTGACCACAATTATAACATCTTCCCCCAAATGTTCTAACCTGTCCTCCTAAAGCAACTCCTGTGATTGCTTGAGCCATAAGCATAGCTTTATGCATAGCTCCTCCAATTCCATCGCAGGCCTTAACGTACTCTGAGATTACATCTGATCCTGCGGGAACCTTTCCTTTTAATGGCTTAATGGCTGATTGACAATCAGGATTGGCGTTTTCATATGCCATCAACTCCACTATGACCTTACGGGCATTCTCATCGGTAATTGACTTTTGAGCAGCATCTTGAAGTCTTGCTACAAAATCAGGGTAGGGCTCTTTAGAGCCTTGTCTTATTGTATTAAAGGAGGGACAGGCTGTTCCTGGGTCTTGGATTTTCTCCCAGGCCCTAAGGCAGATAGCCCTGATTTGCTCAATGGCCTCATTTGGCATTATTACTTGTTGGTCAACAGTGCTCCAATTTTGACCTATTCCTAATAGTTGATCTGCATCTATGTCAATTGGAGGATTGGCAGTCCTATTTTTTCTGACCTGTACTTGTGCCCCATCAATCCACCAAGTCTTAAATTGTAAAAACTGAGAGGGTGAGAGTGAGGATTTTGCCAGAATCTCCCAATCATAAGGAATGAGTCTATGTCCATGAGCAATGGAATCTAATAATGTTCTCATGTAAGGAGAGTTGGGTCCATACTGTTTTACTCCCTCTTTCATTTCTTTTAGCATTTTTATAGAAAAAGACTTATATCTGGCTTCAGCTACGGGAAGCTCTCCCTCTTGGGCCCCTTCTCCAGGTGGTCTTGCTTCTAATATTACTGGGAATTGCCACGCCTCAATATCTCCTTGTTTTCTTGCCTCATCAATAATTTTATGTAACGCACTACCCTGTGTACTAGGCGGTGCTGTAGGATTAAGTCTCATGGTGGGCGGCTGAGGATATGGTACCCTGCCCTGTGGCGCTAGAAATGTTCCTGGCTGTCCACACGGATTTTCTGGGGGCAACCGATACTGCAGTTCGGCTGGCGGCCAGTATTGATAGGCTACTGGCGGCTGGGTCTTATCTTCTACCGGCTGATATTGTGGACACTGCATTTGGAATGGCATTGCCATGACAGAAATTCTATCTTTTTCTATTTGATCTTCTTTTGGAGTTTGTACTTGTTTAACCTGCATTTGAGGTTGTAAAGTTACAGGCATTTGAGCTGCTGGAAGAGGAGTTGGCCATCGTGGTTTAGACTCTGATGGCTCTGCTAATTCTGGATTTTTTTCTTCTAATTTTAACGTTTCAGGATATACTACCTCCTGTAATTGATTATCGTCAACATTTTGCGTTGACCGAGCCATAGCCGGCTCTGATACACATTCACAGTGTGAACTTTCCTTTCCTTTCCGGGATTCTATCCCTGCCTCTTTTTCACAATCTACTGCACAGCTTTTAGGGACATCAGAAATTGGAACGTTATCTTCTTCTGTTTGAAATGGTTCTAAAGCTACTTTAATAATGACCCAATCATTCCATACTGTGAGCGGAATGATTTTACCTTCCCTACTTGCTTGTTTTAATTCTTTGCCAATTTTTTCCCAATCTTTTAGATCTAAAGTTCCCTGTTCCGGAAACCATGGACAAAACTGCTCTATTGTTTGAAATAGCGTAATTAGATTTTTGGTAGAGACTTTAACTCCCCCTCTTTTAAGAGAATTTTAATAAAGCTGCGATAAGAGGCATATTTACTCTTAGTTTGCCCCATTGTTACCCTAGGTTCTTCCGAGCGCACAAGCTTACCGCAAGGCTGACTGTAGACGTACTCGGAGTCTCTCGTCGACTTGTCCTCAGTGACCACGCTCCAGCGTACCTTCACCTTAGAGAAAAGCTTCCACGTTGGGCACCAGATGAAGGGGTGGCCTGCCCCTCCACACCTGTGGGTGTTTCTCGTTAGGTGGAACGAGAGACTTGAGAAAAGAAATAAGACACAGAGACAAAGTATAGAGAAAGAAAAGCGGGGGCCCAGGGGACCGGCGCTCAGCTTACAGAGGACCCACGCCGGCACCGGCCTCTGAGTTCCCTTAGTATTTATAGATAATTATCTTTACCATCTTAAGGATAAGGGAGTGGCAGGACAATAGGATCATTTTTAGGGAGGAAATTAGCAGTAAGACATAAGAACAAGGATCTGTGACATGAATAAGTTTAAAGGTAAATCCTGTGCCTTGAGATAAACCTTTTAGCAACATTGTTTCATCCTATCACATGGGGATAAACCTTGGACAATACCTAGCTTTTCTAGGAACAAAGTCACACCCTGCACGCCCAAAATCCATTAAACCACAGCACATGTCTCTTGCAAGGACAAGGTTGGGGGTAGGGTCACAGATTAACAGCATCTCAAATACAGAACAAAATGGAGTCTCTTACGTCTACTTCTTTCTATATAGACACAGTAACAGGCTGATCTCTCTTTTCCCCACAGATGGTGATGTTAAGAGTTAGGTGCCGGGCTGGCACAGACATACAGGTCGTGCCCTGTACATGGGTGCATTTTTTTGTTGTTGTTGTTTCTGAGACAGAGTCTCACTCTGTTGGCTAGGCTGGAGTGCAGTGGTGCCATCCCAGCCCACTGCAGCCTTCACCTCCCGGGTTCAAGAGATTCTCCCGCCTCAGTGGCCTGAGTAGCTGGAATTACAGGCATGCACCACCACGCCCAGCTAATCTTTGTATTTTTAGTAGAAATGGGGTTTCACCTTGTTAAGTCAGCCTGGTCTCAGACTCCTGGGATTACAGGCTTGAGCCTTGGCTCCTGGCCCAGGGGTGCCTTTCTGAAGAGAGCAAGTGAGTGCCAAGAGCATATCTGGTCTGCTTCCCCCAGAAGTGTCACTTTCTCTAATTTGAACAGTGGTACGCTAGAGGTTTGCTGTGACTTGGAAGATATTGATAGACCCATTTTGCAGGTGAGAAAATCAAGGCTAAGGAAGGTGACTTGTTTTTCTCCCACAGCCCCTAGTATGGCATGGAATGTGGTGGTGACTCTGGAGCCCAGGTCACATCAGCCCTCTTGCAGGTGAGGGCTATCTTGATGGGGCACAGCATGGGCTGTGAGCTCTTTACTTCCCCATGGACTGCTTGCAGAAACACACTTCCTGGGTGCAACTCAACCCATCACCATGTTGTTCCCAGGCCTTGAATGGGTGCCCCGCCCTCCACCTCTCCCCTCCCCCAAGCTTACCACTCAAGAAGATAAGACAGTGTTTCAAATCAAATGTTAAAGAGCATTGTCCAGGCTCATCACGAAAGAATGAGGGAGGTAGCGAAGGCACGAATGGTCACAGGTTTGTGGCTTGGAAGATGCATTAGATTAAGCTGCGTCAGTTTCTGAACCTTGGCACAGTGGGCACATTGGGCTGGATTACTGTGTGGGTTGCCTTGTGCACCATAGCATGTGGAGCCGTATCCCAGGCCTCTACCCACTAGACAGCGTTGGAACACCCCACCTCCCCAGTTGTGACAGCCAGAACTGTCATCAGGCATGCCAGCTTTCCCTGGGATGCCTGATCAGTTGAGAACCCTGAGCCAAGCAGAGATGGGTCTCCTAGCTGGAAGAAAGCACAGGAGAAAAGCTGTGGGTTTGTTTGCTGTGTGTTGGGGTGACAGTAGGGACAAGACAGGGAAGGCCTTTGCCTTCCTGGAGCCAGTCAAAAGGGCAATTTGTCCAGTGGTAAGTGCCCCCACGCCCAGGATGTCAGGATGTCTTGACTTTTGGGGGTGGGTGGATTGGAGGTTCATCTGAGGAGGGGACCTGAGTTGGACCCTGAAAGTCCAGAAGCAACCAGCCATTCCGAGTGCTGGGACCAGCAAGTGCAAAGGTCTGAGTTAGGAAAGAACATAGAGAGCCAGAGCCTGAGAGCATGGGAGGCAGAAGGAGAGACAGAGAGCAAGGACTTGATGGTATTCAGAGCATGATGGGAAGCCACTGGAAGGTTTTAAGTAGGGGAGGAATAGTCTAGTTGATTTTTTTTTTTTGAAACAGAGTCTTGCTGTGTTGCCCAGGTTGGAATGCAGTGGCTGATCTCGGCTCACTGCGAGCTCCGCCTCCCGGGTTCACATTCTCCTGCCTCAGCCTCCTGAGTAGCTGGGACTATAGGCACCTGCCACCACACCCGGCTACTTTTTTTGTATTTTTAGTAGAGACGGGGTTTCACCGTGTTAGCCAGGATGGTCTCGATCTTCTGACCTTGTGATCCGCCCACCTCGGCCTACCCAAGTGCTGGGATTACAGGTGCCTGCCACCATGCCCGGCTAATTTTTTCGTATTTTTAGTAGAGACGGGGTTTAGTGTTAGCCAGGATGGCCTCGAGCTCCTGACCTTGCGATCTGCCCACCTCAGCCTCCCAAAGTGTGTGAAGGAAACAAGGATATACATTCTGGGTGAAGGGTGATGCTGGCTGCAGGTGGTCAGCCCTCAGACTCACTAGTGGACATGGAAGATGAGGAAAGGGGCATGGTCAGTGGGAAGGGCTGGGGACCTTCAGGTTGGGCCCACAGGGGTAGGAGACATTGCTGTGGGGCCATGGGGCAGCTGGAACAGGGAGGTCAGCTCTGTGGAGACCAGCTGTGTGGACGAGTGTTCGCATGGAGATCCCCAAAGCTGCAGATGATCACCTATGAACACCAAGGACCCAGCTGGGGCAAGAATTGGGATATCCCCTTCCAGCTCTGCTCCTTCCTCCACAGATGACACCTTTGAGGCCCTGTGCATCGAGCCGTTCTCCAGCCCACCTGAGCTGCCCGATGTGATGAAGCCCCAGGACTCGGGAAGCAGTGCCAATGAACAAGCCGTGCAGTGAGGACCCCCAAGAGGCCCATTCCCCCCAATAAAAGAGATTTGGGAGTCTTCCTAGTTGCTGCCTCTTTTTCCCAACCCTCCCTGGGATGGGTCCCACTCCCTGTGGGCTCCTTTTGGGGCTTGTTCTTGGCAGTTCCTGTGCTGTCCTGTCTCCCAGACCCTGGCTGAGAACTTGGCCCAGCCTGCTGCTTAAAGACACCATGGGTACCTGGGTTGCCTTGAGACCCAAGCCATTGTTAGCAGTTAGCCAGCTACACCAACCACTCCAGGGGAAGGGGAGGACTAGGAGGGACACAAAGACCACAGGAAGCCTCAGGGACAACACATTCCAGTTTTAGGCCTTTTTCCTTCTAAGTGCCCCCCACCCCCACACTCTGCATGTCCACTCCCAGGGGCCTCTTGTCCTGAGGACAATGGCCAAGAGCAGAAATACAAGCTGGAGCCTGTGTCCTGGTTTGACAGCACGTTCAATGAGGGAACCCCAAAGCGGACGCACACAGGTCCACCCACACTGGGGGCTGCAATCAGGGAGGGAGGTGGCTGCCCCCTTGCCACACCTTTAATAAACAGTCTACAGACCCAGTTCCTGCATTTCTCATTTTTATTTGACAGAAAAAGTTGCTCTTGCTGTACAGATTTTAAAAAACCAAAATGCCTTTAAGAAACGTGAAAAGTTGGGGGGAGGGGTACACAACCTCATGGGGGGCAGTAGGGACCAACTAATTCCAACTCCTGCCCCTTCCTTCCAAGAACACCTTACACAACCTCCAGTCCCAACCACCATCACAGTCACCCCTGGGAACTTTTGGATACAACTGGGGCCATGCCTCCCTGGCCCTGACTCCAGGCTGGGGTGTCCTGAACTGTATCCTCCCCTCCCCCAACTCCCATCTGCATTCCCTCCCACCCCAAACCCCCCAGAACACGTGAACCAGGAAGAACTCACGGAGATTAACATTTCACAGGAACAAAGAAAAAAAAAGGGAGGGAAAGGGAGCCCTTCATCCAAGGGCTGCTAAGGTTCAAAGGAGAGCAGACAAGGACCCTCCCACGGCTCTGCTGGGGAAGAAGGGACACTCCCTGTGGCTCCAGAGCATGGGGTGTGGTGGAATCCCCCAAAGACAATTTATGGAGACCTGCAACAGAAGATACGGGTCAACAGGGAGTTCTGACCCTAGTCCTCAAGGCCAGCTTCTGGGCCACTCCCAAAATAGGGCTGCCACCCACCACCACCACCACTGGCTCCCAGAAGGCGGCCTCAGCCTTCCAGGAGGATGCGCACCTGGAGGAGCGGTGTCTCATGGGCCGAGGGCTAGGTGTCTCCCTCCTGCGCTTGTGGCTGGGGGATCGGCTGTCCCCACGCTGGCCTCTCCGGGAACCCCGCTCACTGCTGCTGCTGCAACACAGGACAGACATCAGGCCACAGAGTGGCACCACCTCAGGCACCACAGATCCACAAAGTTTTCTTGGTAGAAAGCAGTGGCAGCCAGACAGGGCTGGGTGCTGACACCTGCAGCTGGCCTTACCTCTGCTGGTCCCGTGGCGAGGGCTGGGGCGAGGGACGGCGACGCTCCACAGGCGAGTAGCTGAGGGACCGAGAGTCCCTAAGGGAGTCTATTGGCTTCCGGGGACTGCGGGACCTGGGGAACACAGTAGGATCCAATAGCACCACACCCTTTCAAGCACAGCGGCCAGCACTCAGGACCACCCACCCAGGTCCTGACCACCAAACCTCACACCACACAGGGCCAGCCTCAGACCCACCTTTGTCCGCTCACTCACCCATCCGCCCGCACACCATCGACCGAGTGCCCAGTGGGCAGGCACAGGGTGCAGCGGGGGATGCAAAGATAAAAGACATTCCCTGCCCTTGAAGGAGCTCAGTGGTGAAGGAAGGCACGCACGGCCCCGTGTGTGGGAAGCAGGGCTGGATGTGCGTGGCTCTGGGGACCCAAGGAAGGAGGACATAGGGCAGGGCAGGGAAGGGGCAGGGCAGTCTTCTCGAAGGTGCTGTTTGAGCGGAGTCTTGCAGAACGAGGAGTTCACCAGGCGGACAAGGAAATTCCAGGCAGAAGGAACAGCATGTCCAAAGGCATGGGCTCTCCTTAAACTGCAAGGCGCTGGGTGTGGCTGGAGCACAGGGCATGTGTGGGGGCGGGCAGGAGGAGAACACAGGGCGGGCAAGGCCCGTTGGTGAAGAGCCTCACACGCCACTCCCGCAGAGGTGGGGCTTTGTCCTGCAGGCCACAGGGCGTCCCGAAGGATTTGTGGAGTGGAGGGAAGTAGCCAGATGTGCGTTTTAGAAAGGTCCCTCTGGCTACATGTGGAAGAGAATGGCGTGGAGGCGGGGAGACAGGGAGGAGGCTGTGGACAGAGTCGGGAGAAGATGATGGTGGCCAGACCAGAGCCCTGGCAGTAGCAACAGGGAGACAAAGCTAGAACCCTGGGACCAGGCTATGTGTTGAGGGAGGGAGAGGAAGAAACCAAGGACCCCCCAGTCCTGGCCTGAGCGCCCCTGTGGATGGCGCAGCCCTTCGCCAGAACAAGGTGCAACAAGCGGGGGAGAGAACAAGCGCCTCTTCCCCCACAACCAGATGCCCAAGGTCACGTGAGACACCCAGCCGGGAGCTCACACCCCAGGGCCCTGTCTCTGGATAAGTCACTCCCCCACCCTCCTTCCATCTCAGGCAAGGCAGCACTCACCTCCGCTCGCCAGGGGGTGGCTTCTTGGGGCTTGCAGGTTTGGGCAAGGCCTGAGGGCCAGGCTTAGCAGGGGAAGGCGAGGAAGAGGAGGAGGAAGAGGAAGAGGAGGAGGAAGAGGAAGAGGAAGAGGAGGAGGAGGAAGAAGAGGAGGAGGAGGAGGAGGAGGAAGATGAAGAGGAAGAGCTGGAACTGGAACTGCTAGAGCGCCTCTTCCGTTTGGCTGGGGTTGGCTCCGGAGGACGTCCCTCTCTAACAGCCTCCTTTGGGGCTGGGGTGGGGCTGGGGACCCTGTGGGAGGAGAAGAGTGTCACAAGGAGACAAGCTGCCCCAGCCCCAACCCTACCTTCCTTGGCCTGGAGGAACGGCAGTGGGGGGAGGGGTGCCTGAGAAAGGCGCTGGGAGCTCTCCTAGCCCTGTAAGCCAGCAATTCTCTGGAGAGCAGTGGTGCGAGCTGACCCAACCTCTGCTAACAGAAGCAACAGGCTGGGGCCCGCAGCATAAGGGATCAAGGTTAAACCTCAAGAATGTCCCTGATGGAGGAATAAGGCCTCTGGGCTCAGGTGTGGAAGCTGAAGCTGGGTAGTCTCCTTCCTCGGAGAGCCGCAGCTTGGGGAGGCCCCTGTGAGTGCAGGTTGGCTGGGGAAGGGGCCGTCCTGCCTGGAGGCAGGGAGAGGGATGGGATGACCTCTGAAGATCCTTCCAGCCCAGGGAGTTCCTCTTGAGGTCTAACTGCCATCCCTCCTGCTGTAAAATTAAGTCCATTTCCTCTAGTTCTGTCCTCTGTAGAGACGGAAAACTTATCATTATCCTCTAGAGAATGAACCTTCGGAGACTTTTATCTGTCCCACTCCTCCTCCCTCCGCCCCCGCCCCAGCATTCTCTTCTACCCCCAGCCTGAGGGTCAAGGTCCCCATACCTCCTCCAAGAGTCAAGCACCTGTGACATGGTTTCTCCCTCCCCACTCCCAACCCATCCCCAATACCTCCCCACTGAAGGATGCTAAAGTCAAGCTCCCTCACCTCTTTAGTGCCACCTCAGGTTGCACAGGAAGGCTAGAGCCCTCCGAGTCGCTAGAACTGGAGCCAGAGGAGGAAGACGAGGACGACGACGATGAGGAGGAGGAAGAAGAGCTAGAGGACGAGGAGGAGGAGGAGGAACTCCGCCGCTCCTTTGCTGGCTGCAGGGCGGCTAATGCAGAAGGCTGCTGGGCCCCAGTAGAGGCAGGTGGCTCCCCCACATCAGAGTGGGGCACCCCGGGGGCAGGGACAGAGAGCATGCCATTGTGGTCACCAGCAGAGGACGTGGTCGTTGCCACCGCCCCAGAGGAAAGGGACTGAGACCCTGCTACGGGGGTGGTCTGGGCAATCAAAGAACGGGACTGGTCTGAAAAAGCAGAAGGCACAGGAGACCTCGGCTGATCCTGTGCTGGAGGGAGAAGAGACTGTGAAGGAGCCTGGCCCATTCTAGAGGAAGGGGAGGGAGCCCGTTCAGAGGTCATTCTAGACTGGCTTGGGGCAGACGGTGGTGTTCTGGACCTGGCTCGGTCAAGGAGCGGTGGTGAGGTTCTGCCACTGACACGCTCATAGGCAGAGAGGGGCACCCTGGGGCTGGTGAGGTTTGCACCAGACAATGTTGGAGCCATCCTAGCACTGGTGAGGCTCGCGGGGGCCAAGGCTGCAGCGGTTCTGGAGCCGGCAATATTCACAGGAGCTGTGGCATGTGCAGACCGAGGACCCACCAGGTTTGCAGAGGCTGGAGCCTGTGGTGTTCTGGAGCTGGAGGGATAGTTTGCAGCAGCTGGTGGGGTGCCAGAGCCTGTGAGACTCAGAGCTGCCAAGGCAGCTGGGGTTCTGGCCCCTGCTAGGTTCACAGCTGGGGCTGTGGGAGTGCGAGGGTCAGCCAGGTTCACAGCCGAAGGTGCCACCGCTGTTCTGGGGCTGGCCAAGTTCATGGCCGCTGCTGCAGCTGGCGTTCGAGTGTCAGCCAGGTTCACTGCTGTTGGGATGGCAGGTGTCCTGGCGCTGGCTAGGTTCATGGCTGCCGCAGAGGCTGCAGGAATCCTGCTGGCAAGGTTGGCTGCTGGAGCGGTTCTGAGACTCATGAGAGGCACCGGGGCTGGAACCTGGGACATTCTTGCAGCAAGGCCAGCAGCAGACATGGACGGAGGAGGCCGAGCAGTGCCAAGACTGATAGCGGTCAGGGCAAGTGCAATCCTGGACTGAGCATGATTTTCTGGCACAGATGTTCTCTGGTGGTCAGGTATTCGGGGACCTGGACCATCCATCATGGAGCCACCGGCTTGCTGCAGGACAGACATGGGTGTTCTAGAGCTGCCAAGGGGTTCAAGCATT